GAAATCACATGTGATGTCTCCGGGAGCACCCCCATAAAACCTGGTGTACCCAACCATCGAATCTACGGATGTCCCCAGGAGCACCCCTCTAAATCCAGGTGTACCTAACCAACTTAATCACATGTAATGTCCACTGGAGCACCCCCATAAAACCCACGTGTATGTAACCTACAAACACACATGCACTTTATCCCCATGAGGCCAAACATATACATGGGGACGCGCATGTGATCACCAGCAGTGTCGCACACATCAACAGCAGCAGCGGCTTCCACGCATGCGCAGCGAACTTACGGCGGTTTTTCGCGCACCTGGCGGTTTATGCGTTTACACACCTACACAGCCGCAAATCCAACGCACGTGCGCGTGATCTTTTGGCAGTCTACACACACATGAGTAGCAGCAGTGGACATGTGTGAATAAATTTTTGGGACGTCTTCGAAGCAGATCTTCATATTTTTTTTTAGTGATATTTATATTTCTCTGATCGACATGTACATAAGCACCCCCATGCAGCCACGGTCTGCTCATACATACGTGGGCGTAGTCCAACACAACCTATAATTTGAACTGAATTTAACCCTCTATTGTTTTTGTGGAGAAAATTACTAAAATTTGCGAACGTTTCTAACCTGCAACTAAAGTCGAAACCATATGGAAACAAAACCATTGGAAAATCTATAAAATATAATGAAGTGTTTAAAATTAATTAGTTTATCATAAATACAACCTAAATTTAATTACCTATTTTCGCGTGTTATTTAAAATCGTTTTGCAAAATATCGAGTGTTTTGAGTATATCTTAACCCTATGGTGCATGACGCCATAATCTTTTACAGCACACCGGAGTCGGGAGATCGATCTTTCGCCGAAGGATAAGTTGCCGTGAGTTATTTAATTGTTTCTTTACTTTATGCATCCTTATATTTTGAAAACCAAACATAAACTTTCCATTAAATGGCCACATAAATAATACTTGGGTCCCGAATCTAATGATGAAGTTTGCCTTTTGATGAATTTTATAAACTAAACTGTTAATTAACGAATACAATAATGTAAAATATTAGTGACTATTAAGTACTTGCGCAAACATGAAAAGAATTTATTTGAATTTATATTTAGTTTAAACACTGAAAGAATTTTGAAGTCAAAACATTTAATCGATCTTGAGTAAATTAAAACGAACGAAAGAAATTGGCCTTGTACACTGAAACAAATTGAAATCTAAACTAAACTTTAAAATTTACATACCCATGCCATTGTTTAAACTATATACCTATTACTATATTGCGATTGAAATTATATGCTATTTCTCTTGAATATTAATAATGTTCTATTTCCGTAAATTGGTTATTAAAATGGAGGCCTAAAACCCCAATCAACTGAACTCAGCTGATGTTTCCACGGTCGTAGGGTAGATAAGGGGTCACCAGAGCCATGCTCTTGCGGCAGGTGATCACAGGTAGGGAGGGCAACATGCGAGCTCAACAACATCCGAGGCTTCGCATTCATTAAGATTTCTCACTTTCCTTTCTTTCATTTCTTTCTTTTCTTTCATTTATCCTTTTTCTCGATTCCTTGAGTTCTCGTTTTTCCGAATTTATTTATATTTTCTTCCGGTTTAGTTAACTAACTCATGATTTTGTCGCAAGCACGCTCAATTCTTGGTCTGTTAATAATAATGTGTAGATAGTGTCAGGATCTGTATAAAGCAAGAACAACACCCCCAAAGCCGACGAGTTAGTGCCGGACCCTATAGCGTGCCCCGCAAGTACAGATTCCTCGATTCAAACACTTTAGTCGAACGTTACACGCTACAGTTATAATTCATTATTATTAATAAGAAAAGTGGCGCTCAACGTGTAGGGGCCTTACTGAATAATTTTTATTCGATAAGACTCACTGGTAAATAAATTCAATTTCTTTCTTTCTTTTGATTTCAACTTTACTTTCTATTTTTCTTAAAATTCTTTTGGTTAATTTTTAATTGTCTTGGAAAACATGCTGAGTGAATATTAATATTTCTAGCTGTCCGAAATTAAAGGTAACTTAAGAATTTTCCTAAATTTAGTAGAAATGATTAGGTTGCTATTAGTCTGAGGAAAACAGAAGGACAAAAGTTCATCTAGGTCTTCTGGCCCAGCTTAAAACACCAAGTTGTTGAACTAACAATTTTCTCTAAATTAAAGATAGATATTAACTTCACTGTTAGGAAAATACTGGCATCACTTTAGAGCTGCGCCGTATCCACAAGTAGTTGGTGAAAATCTTTAATTTATTATTTTTCCAGAAGTATTAAATTCTTTTGTCATAAGCTGGAATACATGCAAATCTGTTTTAGAACAGGCCACTGTCCGCTGTCCGTGATAAAGAAGTAACTACTTCCCTCCTTTTGTATTATGGAATAGGTTCTATAAACTTAAGCGTCATTCTTTTATTTCCGTACTTTCTATACCTTCCGAGAATCTTTACTTTTAATACCTTTCGACTCGTGTAACATCTAGCAAGGAGTTCAGTAATATCTTTTCCGCATATTTTTTTTTATATACTCTTTTTGGGTTTTTTTTCCAATTTTTTTATAGAAATATAAATAAATTTACTTGGTTAAAACTTTGGTTGCAGTTGGTTTTTCTAAAAGAATATTGTATTGTTATCTGTGTGCATTATGGGTCTAGACCGATCTCCGAATAGGGAGGCCGAAGGCGGCCCAGCTGCCGTTTGTCCGATATGTAAAGACGACATTACCGTCGTCGAAAAGTTTACAACCTCTTGTCAACATGAATTTCACAAGAAGTGTATAGAAGCTCATTTTAAGAAAAGTGCACAATGTCCAGTTTGCAAGTCTGCTTGTAAACCCACAGCTGGGAAGGCACCTGATAGTTCGGCGCTACAAACTCGCAGTCGATCAAAAAGTAAGCAGCTGTCTGATGGTACCGATAATTCACCGGTAGATGGAGGACCTTCTACATCAGGACTTAACACAAATACCAATAACAGTGGTAATAATGCGACAAGCGTAATAACCGCTAACGCTATTACTTTACTAGCCATGGAACGGAGACTACTCTCTACTCTTTCGGATAAAGTGACAGAACTAATTCAAAGTTCTGTAACAGACAGTGTAACAAGAGCTTTGGCGTCACAAACTAGTCGCGTTGATAATATTCCGCAATCTGCTCCTCAAGGTATAGGACTTATGGATAGTCGGTCCGATTCATTGAATGAACCTCTGGGAAATTCCCGTCTTCATATGGTTTCTCCTGGTTCCCAAAGAAGTGCCACGTTTGATTTGCTGAATCGACCAGATAAAGTTGTGCATATACTAAATGGATGGAAGATTAAATAGGGGTATCGGTAGACAATTTTATATACAGAGTAGAGACGCTCACGAAGGAAACGTTAGAAGGAAACTTTGCTGTACTTTGTAAGAATGCAAGCGTGCTTTTTGACGGGAAAGCCAATGAATTCTATTGGCGTTATCACAAAGCACATGGCGAAGTTGTCTGGGATTCATTTTGTTCAGCCTTACGTCTACAGTTTAGACAGAGTAGGGATGACGGAGATATCGAGGAGTTGATTAGGAACACTAAGCAAAAGCAAAATGAAACTTTTGATTGCTTTTATGAGACTATATCAGCATTAGTTGATCAGCTAGATGTTCCATGGACGCCGCATAAACTTGTTCGGGTCCTGAAGAACAACTTACGTCCCGAAATCAGACACGAACTTTTAAATATCGAAATTAAATCTGTTTCGGAGTTAAGAGAGATTTGTCGTCGACGTGAAGACTTTTTGGCCGATATAAAGCGGTATTCGGGATACGCTCGAAGTTCTACTTTTAAGCGAGAAGTCTCTGAGCTGAATCAAGACCAAGAAGGTATTGAAGGAATAGAATCCGAAAATGAGGTAGAAATCGAAGCTTTTTCTTTGTTATGTTGGAATTGCCGCAAGGAAGGGCATAGATATCAGGATTGTGTATCTGAAAGACGAGTCTTTTGTTACGGCTGTGGAGCAGCCAACACATACAAGCCAAATTGTAGTAAGTGTTCAAAAAACTACAAACCCGGCATGTCGAAGTCGCCATTCAGACAGAAGTCTTCGATTGCCGTTCGGAATCAAGCCACAATGACCGACGAATAGTTGACGCAGCTATAGTTGTGTCACCCACTCTCCCTGACGAACAAAAACTATCTGCTAGTCCTTTGCTTCATAGCAAAATCCAAGAATTAAAAAACTTGGTTATCCCGGACATGGACCATATACCTGAAATGAAACAGCATAAATCTCGTAGTTCAAAGCGTTTACAAGAATTTTGGCAGAATGTTAGGGAATGCAAACTCGGTCTAGAGTATATTAGCTCTCTTCCTGCAGGACCCAAGGATCCTCGACCGTTCTTACCAATTCGACTTCTAAATCGTACAATTTATGGTTTACTAGATTCTGGCGCTGCAATTAGTTGTATTGGAGGAAATTTAGCTTGTGAAGTATTAGATAACCACGATTATAAAGCAATCAAAGCTAATGCCTCCACTGCAGATGGAAAATCTCAACAAATAGTAGGCCGAGTAAAAGTTGATGTAGAATACGGTAACGTTAAAAAGCCATTGATGATTTACATAATACCCTCACTGAAGCAAAATTTGTATTTGGGAATAGATTTCTGGAGACTGTACGATCTGCTTCCAAAGAGCTTAAATATTTCCGAGTTAGAGGCTTCTAATACTAACGGAAAGGTCGAAACCGATCAACATGATTTGTCCGAGGCTGAGAGAGCCAAATTAATGAACGTAATTAATTGTTTTCCCTCTTTTTCTCAAGAAGGTCTCGGCAAGACCAACTTAATTTCGCATTCGATCGATGTGGGTACGGCAAAACCAATAAAACAACGCCATTTCCCCGTCTCACCCGCTGTAGAGAAGGCTATGTATGCCGAGATCGATAGGATGTTAGAATTAGATGTGATAGAGGAGTCTGAAAGCGCTTGATCTTCTCCCATCGTAATGGTAACCAAACCTGGAAAGGTTAGGATTTGTCTGGATTGTCGCAAGGTAAACAGTTTCACAGAAAAGGATGCTTATCCACTTCCCCAAATTAGTGGCATTTTGAGTCGTTTACCAAAAGCAGAGTACATATCGAGTCTTGATCTCAAGGACGCTTACTGGCAGGTGCCTTTAGACGTAGCATCTCGTGACAAAACAGCGTTCACAGTTCCTGGTAGACCCCTTTACCAATTTAAAGTCATGCCGTTCGGGCTGTGTAATGCCACGAGCACAATGTCGCGCTTAATGGACAAGGTCGTCCCAGCACATCTCAGAAATGAGGTGTTCATTTATCTAGACGATTTGTTGGTAATTTCTGCTAGTTTTGAAAGGCATCTCGAAGTGTTAAGGGAGGTAGCTCTTCACATAAGGCATGCAGGTTTGACGATCAACATTGGCAAAAGTCACTTCTGCATGCTGCGTGTGCGCTATTTAGGTCATATAATAGGAGACGGTGGAATACGCACCGACCCTGAAAAGGTGGCTGCTATCACGAATTTTCCGCTACCCCGAAGTTTGCGCAGCTTGAGAAGTTTTATGGGTTTGTGTGGATGGTATCGCAAGTTTGTTCCAAACTTTGCTGCACAATCCGCTCCTCTGACTGATCTGATGACCACGAAACGGAAGTTTAGCTTGACGGATGAGGCAATAAAAGCTTTTGAACAGTTAAAGCGTTGTCTTAGTGAGGCTCCGGTCTTGTGTAGCCCCGATTTTTCAAAACCATTTGCAATACACTGTGATGCAAGTAAAACCGGTGTAGGTGCAGTCTTAGTGCAAGTCTCTGAAGAAGGAGACGAGCGTCCTATTGCGTTCATTTCGAAGAAACTGAACAAGGCTCAGCGTAACTATACAGTTACCGAGCAAGAATGTTTAGCAGCGATTGTTGCTCTTAAGAATTTTAGGGCGTATGTAGAAGGGCATAAGTTTAAAATCATAACCGATCATGCGTCATTGAAATGGTTAATGTCCAATCATGACCTAAATTCACGCTTAGCTCGATGGGCTTTAGCGTTGCAAAGGTATAATTTCGACATTGAGCATCGGAAGGGTTCCCTTAACATAGTTCCCGACTCATTGTCTCGCGTCAACGAGGATACAGTAGCCGCTTTAGACCTGCGAGAAGGGTTGCTCGTTGATCTTAACTCTGAACATTTCAAGTCCTCGGATTACGTTGATCTTGTAGAGAAAGTAGAAGCAAATCAAGCCAATTTTCCTGATCTCAAGACCGACAGCGGTTATGTGTATCGAAAAGCCGAGCACTTGACAGGAGAGCAAGTTCACGATGAGTATGCGTGGAAGCTCTGGATACCCAGAGAATTAGTACCCGAAATCCTTTCGCGAGCGCATGATAGTCCTTTGTCGTCCCACGGTGGCATACACAAAACGATCGAGAGAGTGAGACGGTACTATTTCTGGCCTGGCCTTGTATCAGATATAAAGACTTATATCAATGCGTGTGAGGTGTGTAAAACCACAAAAGCTCCAAATCAGGTACTTCGACCTCCCTTAGGGAAAGCCCCTGAAAGTCAGCGGTTTTTCCAACGTCTTTTTATCGACTTCCTTGGACCTTATCCTAGGTCGAGAAGTGGCAACATCGGAATTTTTATAGTTTTAGATCACTTTTCTAAGTATGTGTTTCTAAAGGCAGTTCGAAAGATTGATTCTGGAGTCGTGATAAAATACCTTGAAGGAGAATTGTTCATGGCGTATGGAGCCCCGGAAACAGTGGTATCCGACAATGGCTCGCAATTTCGCTCTCATGCTTTTCAGAAGCTCATGCAGCAGTACGGCGTTACTCACACACTGACTGCTGTGCATTCGCCCCAGGCTAACGCGTCTGAGCGCGTTAATCGGTCTGTAATCTCCGCAATCAGGGCTTACTTGCGCCCTGACCAAAAGGACTGGGACGAGTATCTAAGCAGGATATGTTGCGCTCTAAGATCCTCGGTGCATGCTAGTATAGGGACTTCTCCATACTACATGGTTTTTGGACAACATATGATTACTTCCGGTTCCGCTTACTCGCTGTTAAGGAAATTAAACTTGTTGGATGATCGATCCTTGAAGTTCAATCGGGAAGATTCGTTTGACATTGTTCGTGATAAAGCTAGTAAGCGAATGCAGGAAAAGCACGATGAAAACGAAAAGCGTTATAATCTTCGTTCTCGAATCGTGTCCTTTGCCGAAGGGCAAGAAGTATTCCGTCGTAACTTTAAACAGAGTTGTTTTCAGACTGGCTACAATGCCAAATTCGGTCCTTCTTTTGTAAAAGCTAGAGTTCGGAAAAAGCTAGGAAGCGCTTATTACGAACTAGAAGATTTACAAGGACGGTTGTTAGGCACATATCATGCGAAAGATATCCGACAGTAACGCGTCTTCAGTCGTTAATCAATCTAGGGTATCAGCAAGGACATACCCTAGCCTGATTCTATCGGGGGGGCTTTGTAGCGGCGACTGAAGCGACGTTTCTTTTAGTCAGCCTGAAAGTAGTCTATGGATTTTTTTTCAGTTTAATCTAAGCTCGGTTTAAACCCTAATTGGCAGCTTCGCTTAATCAGTATTTTGGGTTTTGGAGATGCCAACTGATAGGGACTATCGTAATATCGTAGCATCAGCCGGTCCAGGGTAGCTCTGGAAAGTTTATGACCTGATAATCAGCTGCGATGCATTTCCGCCGGCAGCCTAGGCCAACATATTCCGGATCCGTTCTATTTCTTTTCAATCGAACCGTCGTGGCGTGCACATGCACAAGAAAATAAAGTTCCGAGTCCCATCCAGAAAATTCTAAACCTAAACTCGGGTACGCGTGCATATCGCTAGTATTGCGATTCGAGAGTGAAAAGTTAAATAAAGAGAGCAGCCAAGCTAAAACGTTTCCCGTAAGTTCCCCGCCGAATTGCTAGTTTTCCGAATCTAATTCCATTCGTGTCTTAGGGATTTAAAGTGGAAAAATACAGGCGGCCCGGCTCCTAACGTGCGTGCCGGCCAGCAGCGAGTTTTCCTTTGGGTAGGATTGGCAAGATTACGGCCGTCAAGACCCGGGAAAAGTTCATCATAACCCCAAAACGTTATCGGGGCCCAATCGCAAAGGTAGATATATTCGAGAATAGTGTCTGGTATTAGGTTTTTTTTACCGTTTCCGCTCCCAATCGTTAGGTTGTGAACAGTTAACGGGATGTAAAGTCGAGGTCGACAGGCGTATCTAACCAACAAAAATATACGGATGTCCACTGGAGCACCTCCGTGAAACCAGGCGTCTCTAACTGTCGAAATCACATGTGATGTCTCCGGGAGCACCCCCATAAAACCTGGTGTACCCAACCATCGAATCTACGGATGTCCCCAGGAGCACCCCTCTAAATCCAGGTGTACCTAACCAACTTAATCACATGTGATGTCCACTGGAGCACCCCCATAAAACCCACGTGTATGTAACCTACAAACACACCTGTACTTTATCCCCATGAGGCCAAACATATACATGGGGACGCGTATGTGATCACCAGCAGTGTCGCACACATCAACAGCAGCAGCAGCTTCCACGCATGCGCAGCGAACTTACGGCGGTTTTTCGCGCACCTGGCGGTTTATGCGTTTACACACCTACACAGCCGCAAATCCAACACACGTGCGCGTGATCTTTTGGCAGTCTACACACACATGAGCAGCAGCAGTGGACATGTGTGAATAAATTTTTGCGACGTCTCCGAAGCAGATCTTCATATATTTTTTTTTAGTGATATTTATATTTCTCTGATCGACATGTACATAAGCACCCCCATGCAGCCACGGTCTGCTCATACATACGTGGGCGTAGTCCAACACAACCTATAATTTGAACTGAATTTAACCCTCTATTGTTTTTGTGGAGAAAATTACTAAAATTTGCGAACGTTTCTAACCTGCAACTAAAGTCGAAACCATATGGAAACAAAATCATTGGAAAATCTATAAAATATAATGAAGTGTTTAAAATTAATTAGTTTATCATAAATACAACCTAAATTTAATTACCTATTTTCGCGTGTAAGATATCGGGACACATAATGGCTAAAAAGTTTATTTAAAATCGTTTTGCAAAATATCGAGTGTTTTGAGTATATCTTAACCCTATGGTGCATGACGCCATAATCTTTTACAGCACACCGGAGTCGGGAGATCGATCTTTCGCCGAAGGATAAGTTGCCGTGAGTTATTTAATTGTTTCTTTACTTTATGCATCCTTATATTTTGAAAACCAAACATAAACTTTCCATTAAATGGCCACATAAATAATACTTGGGTCCCGAATCTAATGATGAAGTTTGCCTTTTGATGAATTTTATAAACTAAACTGTTAATTAACGAATACAATAATGTAAAATATTAGTGACTATTAAGTACTTGCGCAAACATGAAAAGAATTTATTTGAATTTATATTTAGTTTAAACACTGAAAGAAATTTGAAGTCAAAACATTTAATCGATCTTGAGTAAATTAAAACGAACGAAAGAAATTGGCCTTGTACACTGAAACAAATTGAAATCTAAACTAAACTTTAAAATTTACATACCTTATTTTTCCATTATTATTATTTACAATTATTATTACATACCCATGCCATTGTTTAAACTATATACCTATTACTATATTGCGATTGAAATTATATGCTATTTCTCTTGAATATTAATAATGTTCTATTTCCGTAAATTGGTTATTAAAATGGAGGCCTAAAACCCCAATCAACTGAACTCAGCTGATGTTTCCACGGTCGTAGGGTAGATAAGGGGTCACCAGAGCCATGCTCTTGCGGCAGGTGATCACAGGTAGGGAGGGCAACATGCGAGCTCAACAACATCCGAGGGTTCGCATTCATTAAGATTTCTCACTTTCCTTTCTTTCATTTCTTTCTTTTCTTTCATTTATCCTTTTTCTCGATTCCTTGAGTTCTCGTTTTTCCGAATTTATTTATATTTTCTTCCGGTTTAGTTAACTAACTCATGATTTTGTCGCAAGCACGCTCAATTCTTGGTCTGTTAATAATAATGTGTAGATAGTGTCAGGATCTGTATAAAGCTAGAACAACACCCCCAAAGCCGACGAGTTAGTGCCGGACCCTATAGCGTGCCCCGCAAGTACAGATTCCTCGATTCAAACACTTTAGTCGAACGTTACACGCTACACCCTACAAATTTAAAGGAACTGCAAGCCTTTCTTGGTAAAATAAATTACTATAATAAATTCATCCCGAATTTTTCACAGGTAGCAGCCCCTTTAAATACATTACGTAAAGCCAACGTCAAGTTTCAATGGAGTAAGCCACAGGAGGATGCATTTATAGCCTTGCGAAATAAACTGTGCAGCACATCACTTCTAGCTCATTTTGATGACAGCCTTCCAATTGTGCTCGCAACTGACGCATCGCCTAATGGCATAGGAGCCGTAATTTCGCATACGTATCCAGATGGATCTGAAAAGCCAATCGCTTATGCTTCGAAAACTCTGGATGAGCACCAGCGCCGCTATAGTCAAATCGAAAAAGAAGCTTTGTCGATCATGTTTGGAGTAAAAAAATTTCATCAATATTTATATGGCCGCAGCTTTACTCTCATTACAGATCACAAGCCACTCGTGTCGATTTTTAACCATAACAAGCAACTCCCTTCGATGACTATTCAACGTCTACAAAGATACGCAATTACACTAATGGCATACCGATATTCTATAAAGTACAGACCAACAGACAAACACAGCAACGCCGATGCTTTATCGCGTCTACCAGAAGGCCCGGATACATCGTTTGACACTAAGGTGTGTTTACAGCTCCATGTGGAAAACCAATTAGCGGATTTCCCTATGGATGTGAAGCAACTAAGAGACCTCACAGCAAAGGACAGCGCACTTCAACGAGTCAAGTGTTTCATTGATAATGGATGGCCAGCTAAGCTATCTCCGCAAAATCAGGACTTGCAACAATTTTTTATTCGCCGTAACGCACTCAGCATCGAATCTGGAGTCATTCTATTGCACACTGACTTTGTTCGTGTTATAATACCAGCAGCAGCTCAACAAAAAGTTCTTAAAATGCTACATATTGGACATTGGGGAATTACGCGAATGAAGCAAATGGCTCGCAGATATTGTTATTGGCCCAGCATGGATATACATATACAGAAATTTTCAGCACAATGTACTTTATGTCAACAACATAGCAATGCTTCACCAGCCCGTGAATTTTCTTATTGGCCTGCATCAGCAGAGCCTTGGCAGCGTATACATTTGGACTTCGCCGGACCCTTCTATAACGCAATGTGGCTTATTTGTGTTGATGCACATTCAAAGTATCCATTCGTAACAAAAATGCAGTCTACAACAGCCGAAGCCACAATCAACGCTCTTAAAATCATATTCGCCAGCGAAGGTCTTCCCGACACCATAGTCACGGATAATGGAAGACAATTCATAGCTGCAGAATTCCAAACTTTTTGTGATACGCAAGGCATAAAACACCTCACATCGGCCCCGTTTCACCCCGCATCTAATGGGGAAGCAGAACGATTTGTTCGTACTTTCAAGCAAGCATTCAAAAAAGCCGTGGAGGAAGGTAATAGTACAACGAACTCACTTTTAACTTTTTTGAGCTCTTTCAGAAGCACGCCTATCCCGAATTTAAATAAATCTCCGGCAGAGATGCTTCATGGTCGTCAGCAGAAAACCCTACTGGACCGACTTCTACCTCCAATACCTATTGTTGCCAGCCCTGAGGATCGTAAACATTCATTTAACGTAGACGACCCTGTTTTCGTTAGGAACTTTTCTGGAGGTCCAAAGTGGATTTTGGGCACGGTTAGTCGCAAACTTGGAAAGATTATGTATGCAGTCCAAAGCGATCAAGGAATGCTCAGGCGACATCGCAACCAAATGAAACCACGTAGTCCCTGTTCAGTCAACGCTTCAACTAGCACCGCACAAGATGATCTAAAACAAAATCAACAGCCACTCCGCCGATCAAGCCGATTACTTCAAAAAAAAACCTTAACGCCGGTACTTCAAAATAAGAGGGGAGGAGTGATATATATATATCGAGCTAACAAGTTATGTGCCATCGCTATTCGATATCTAACGGCTTTTCTATTCGATGTATCGATAAGACCGGCCCCAGCGAGTCTTGTATTGGTCACTTCTGGAACACACACGTATTTTTGATATGAGCCATTAATTTCAACTGAAGTATAACTAATAAACTTAAGTAATGTGAATATAACTCTTCACCTTGCGTTCTCTGTTATTTTGGGACTTAGTGAGTACCTCATTGTGCACCACCAACTCCGTTGAGTTATAACATGTACGATGATCTTCTTGTTGTCGATAGGGAGTTAAAAATTGTTTC